GCCAGGCAACTCAACAGAACAACCAATACATATATTAAATATGATAATGGAAGAGGCACAAGAAAAGAACAAAGAAGCATGGATACTTCTGCAAGATATAAAGAAGGCATTCAACTCAGTTCCACTAGAAAGTCTTGAGTAGGCCCTTAGAAGAGTCAAAATACCACAAAAGACAAGAAAATACATAACCAACCTTTTTCATAAACGGCAACTCAAAATTATCACAGCCTATGGTCTAACAGAAGAAATAACAGCAGGAGATGGAATAGATCAAGGAGAAGTAATATCACCTCTAATCTGGCGTCTTTTTTATGACCCATTGTTAGAAAAAATTCAAGATGACAAAATACTTGGCTATACAGTAGAACAAGAAATGTCAGAAAGAATGTGCAACACTAGTGTTACGAAATATAGACAAGCAGCAATTGCATATGCAGATGACACAACTTGGATTGCAAATAGCAAAGAACAATTATTGAGAACCCTTGAAATCACAGAAGAGTTTTTCAAGGCTAATGATATTGAAATAAACGGGTCCAAGTCAAAGCTCGTAGTAATGAATACAAGATGCAGAGAAGAGGAAAGAGAAATTATCTTTGGACAAAGCAAAATAGTAGAAGAACCAAAGAACAAGATTGTAAGATCATTGGGAATCTGGCTGAATAGCAGAATGAGAGAGGCATTGATCTGCAAAAAGGCAAAAGGGATAGTTAGTCAAACAGTGAAAGATCTAAGATACAAAAAAATGACAATGAGCCAAATCGTATATATAAACAATACAGTAATTATCCCAAAATTAGGATATCTTTTGCAGCTAACAAAGATGTCAGAAAAGATGCTGGACAAGATACACCAGCCGTTAATATGTCTGGCAAAGCACAAATGCAACATGATGAAAACATCAAACAACTGCACAATAGAGCACAAGGACTTAGGAAACTGTAAACCACTAAGTCAAGAAATAGTAACGAAACAAATAAGTAGTCTTTTCTCAAGACTTAATAGGAAAGACAGCTTAGATGATCTGACGAGACTTAGAATAGCTCAGGAATGTCAAAAGGCAGGTCTAACAGCAGACATTTGGAACTCAGAGAGAAAACCAGAAGAAAAGAAGTATTGGAAGAACAACTTAGCATGCCGAACAATAATTAGAGCAAAGGAGATAGGAATAAGCATCAAAACAGAAAATTGTTTGTGGAAAGTGTATGGTCATGGAGAGAAAATAAGAGACATGCTAGAAATGTGAACATGGGCAACAAGTGGCAGTACAATAAACAAATGGGGTTTGCTTTACATAAATCAACTAATAGACATAAAAGGAAAAAACCTAATCAAAAGTTGTATATATGGCTAGTTGCATACTCACATATTACAAGTTGTACATACAAATATATAATTAAATACACAATAAAAATGATAGCTACTGATAGATATCAGCCTTAGTAAAAGCAAAAAAAAAAATTAATAAAAAACTAAAACAAAATTTTACTTTTTTTTTGTATTAAAGTTCTTGCTTTTGAAAAATAATTTTTATTCAAGTTTTTGACAGAAACAAGATCTTCAGAAGCTTTTTTATATTGAAAATTACAACTAGTTATATATGCACTTTTTTTTTTTTTTTTTTTTTTTTTTAATATTACGGTTCTACG